ATCCAAATAATTTATTCATAGATTAAAAATAACCAACTATACTATCATAGTTTTCAGAAACAACCACGAAGAGATTTCATATTGTGAAAGAAACGCAAAAACATTCGTTGTCTACACTATTAAATAAGTCTCTTTCAGTGTATCTCACTAAACAAGCATTAGCAAACTGGTCGCCAAATCGACTTGGAAACTTATATAACTCAAAGCTTAAAATACTCTTTTTGCACTTGTAGTTGTAATTGGTAGAATCAAAACTAGTGAAATTGCCGTTGTCGCTAGACAATTTCAGGGTTGTAGGGGAAAGATCGAATAGGCATAAGGAAAAAAGAGATCTGATTAGGTCTTTGTTGCAATTGGAATTTTGTTTATAGTATAATAATTAATTTTATGTCAATTTTTGAACAAGCATTGAGTTGTGTTGTAGTGACAAAATACTCCAATACTACTTATAGGTGTTGTGTTCCATCACCAATATAAATATATATGGCGTATTTTTGTTCCTCCGAAATTTACCCCTATCCCGGGACAAGGCCCAAGAGCCTGCCTCCGCTACTGACAGAACCAATAAAGAGTGTTTGGCTCTGGCCGATGAAACGACTCGATGAAATTGTTATTTTATTTTGTATGGTGGGAAATCTATATGAAAAAATTAACGCTAAATTCTTATAATTGTAGTTATTTGTTCAAGCATATATAATTATAAGAAAGTCAATATGCATAACTTGAGAAGTACTATGTATAAGTGATATTTTCTGCAATATACGATTATCATGATTTAGCTCGCATCATAAGTCTCTCTTTTCATAATAGTAATTAGTGCAGTCAAAATCGCGTATTAAAACGTAAAAACTTACGTTTTTACGTATCCAAGCCACCAAAACGTTTCAGTTTCTACCTAAAGTCGCTTAGTCACAAAAACTGGTAAAAACATGGGTAAAATCGATAAAATCACTTAAAATTTGTATAATCGCGATTCTGAAGCGTTTTTATACGATTTTGATCATCTCATAAAAATGTGCTAATTGGCCCAAAATGATGTAATTTTTGAGTTATATAAGGAAAAAGTAAGAAAATAAAAACATGATTCATCACTCGTTCTACAACTAGTGTCGAGATAGGGGCTTCACATTAGGTTGAAAAGACACCTAATGGTATTCTCAACAGCCCCTGACCTTCTATAAGTCTTCTCCCTTAATCTTTACTTGTGACTCTTACCTGGGTTACGATAAAAGTTTATGGGTAATTGATCAAACTCGTTTACGGGTAATTATGTAAACTCAAACCAGCTTATGAGAATTTGGATTCTCAAGCTCGTTCACGGGTTACGATATCTACGTTTATGAGCTTATTATTTTCTCTACTTTTGAGTCAACCCAAATTAGTTTATGTGTTAGATATTACATTTTAATAATGAATTTCATGTAGTTATTCACTCATCTAAAATCTACACACTCACATTTTACATATTATATGTTGTACTTAACATATTTTAGTTATTTTAGAGGGTGCGTCAAAAACTTACGCTTTTACGCTTTGATTCTACGTTTTACGATTTTACCTATTTCCCGCTTCTAGGTAGAATCGCGCTTTTAACTGCATTGATAGTAATTTTATCATTGACAATTCAAATACGTTTTTTGTTTTCGTTATATAGAGAATTAGGTAGGTGGTTTTTTGCATGTGCAAGCAAATTTAGGCATTTAAATCTGTTGATAGCAGCATGATGATTTCATTTAAGAGGACCACGTTTGCATTTAGTAACCAGCAGTAGTCGTTGCTTGCATCTGCATGTGTGTAGCGCGTTTGTAGCTGATCTCCCATTTCATCCTGTCTTTGTCTTACCACATTTATATGTTACTGTCCCTCCCGCCTCTCAACATTACCACATTCATTGTAAACATGTGCTTTCCAGTTCCCTCGTCCTAAGAAAACTCCAAACTAATAAAAAACCCATTATTATTTTTCGATTTTTTCCTCGCAAAGTATAATTTCATGTGTTAAATTAAACTTAGAAAAACTTAGCGCAATCTATTGTCCTATGTAAAATACTTCAGGGTCATCTATATATATACACATGAATCTGGGTACCAAATCAAAACTATGCACATACTCTATCGAATTTCTAATATCAACAGTGATCTATGAGTAATAAATTCTTTTTATGAGTCCAACCGACATGTATAATGACATTACATAAGTTAAAAAGTAAGCCATTAAATCACTAGAATGAAAAAAATTAGTGGAAAACAACACAATTCCATGAAAAATAGTATATATGTATAATATATATATATAATATGTTGAGAAAAATAATGATTATTTTTAAACAAAATATATACACATGTATATAATCGGACGCGAGTTGGATAGCAAGAAAATCATACTTATGCATTACCCTGAATATTCAAATTTGACTTTTACCCATATTAAAAAACCTTCATATATTTGAAAATTTTGAAAATTTTCCCATCCCTAACTACCTAGATAAAGTTTTCTGTTTTTTTTTTCTGATACTATCTAAGGCGGACAATAATTTGATTCATGATGAGTGAACTGGATTCAATTAATATTTGGATCAAGTATAATTTGGCTCAGTTTCGGTTGAAAATTAAAATAAAAGAATATGATTAGCATTAAACAACTATTTGATATATATTGAACTGGATCATATTGAACTACATCATTAATCACAATTGAAACCCATCGCGTATTGACAAATTTTGATCAAATCAGATCAATTGTGTTTCTCAAAGTTGTTATCTTTTTCTTTTCTTTCACCACCGTTTGCAAACAAGGCTAGGTGGGTTAGGGTGATTTTTTTGGGGTTTTATTTATGTTGAACTAGAGGTTAGGGTTTCAATCAATAGGTTTTGGGAAGAGAGAAAGAAGGTTATATATAGGGAGAGGCCAAAATCCAGTAAAGAAGTGAAAAATGATTAGATAGGGAAAGATATTAAAGAGTGGGGCTATTTTGGGGCGTATGGGTTGATAAGGAAGATCGAGGACACGCACGTTTGCAAGGATTCACTTCACTTCACTTCTTACCAAGGGAGGCAGGCAGGCAGCATCAGAAGCAGAAGGAGAAGAAGTAGGTCAATTTCACTTCAGTTTCCCTGTAAACGAAACACAACTGAACAGACTGCTTTGGGTGATGGGTGGGATCAGGGATCTGATCGTTTCCCACACTTTTTCAGCACCACCCATTAGTGTTTCGTCTCTTTGTGAATACAAAGAGGAGATAATGCTATTGCTACGTTTTACGTTTCTTCTTCCCATGCACCTTAACTTGGTTATGTCAGCTTCAGGCAGGGCACAACTCATGTGACTACTTTGTTGTTGAATAACTTTGGTTTATTCACATTTATTTTTCGTTGTCGGTTTATGTAAGAAAAACAGATCTAGGCTTGTACATTTAGGGTTCGGGATTCGAAAATTGATAAAAAAAAAATTAGGAATTTGAGAGGGGAAAAGATTTGGGAATCGGGGAAGAAAGGAACGAATCGAATCTCTAGTAAGGAAGGTGGTCGACGGCAATGTGAGGGGAAAGAGAGAGAACTCAAGATTGATAGAGAAGGGGAAAGATTTAAGTTTAGCAAATAATTATTCTGTTATTGTTTAATGAGAAAACTCCTAGTAATACAGAATATATAACCTGACAAATTTTCTATAAGTACCCATATTAATATCCGCTACCTAACATCATGATATTTTTGAAAACCTCCAAATAACATCCAGAGCTCATAAAACATAAAGAAACGATAATTAAGTCAACAAGAGAGTTAGAAACTATGTTTCTAATAATACACCCTCAAGGTCAGTCCTTCTTCTTTTCTTTCTACTTAGCCTCCTCTCCTTCATTCTCCCAATTGCCCATTAGTAGCATCAGATGCCCCTTGGCACACTGGTGCCCGACAGTATACATCTCATCACAATTAAAGCAGCGACCTTCTCAGTGCCCTCCCGGCGGACACTGGTCGCCATCGAGCTTGTCGTTCCTGATGTCAGTGCGGCCGAGTTCGGCCCTCCTCCCGAGCCTCTGCACTAGGGTCTCATCTGCCATCCCTCTGCACTGGTTCCTTATCTTGAGGGATTTAGATCGGTATTCCGCCACTGTTGCCAGCTGCTCTGTGCCCATCCCTCTGCCTTACTGAACTGGTACTTGAGCTCCTCCTAAAACATCAACCATGTGATTTTTGCCTCAGCTTCCGCATAGGAGCGACCATTCATTCTCACCACTGTAAGGCATCACCCTCTAAATAAAAGGACACTAGTTGTGCCTTTCTCTCCTCCCGTTTTGGGTGGTTCCGTACCCATCTCCCTGCCGAATACAACCATAGTCCCACATCACCATTACCATCAAACTTTGGAAACTCGATGACTGGGCACTTAGGCCTAAACACCATATCACCACCATCATCAAATAGAGGGTTATATCAATCATACTTGTTTGTGTTCTGACACAATGAATTGCAACCATCCCCATAGCCTCGCCCATGGTCGTACCTCGGGTGTGGGGGGAAAGAACCAATCCCCTCCTTCTTGCGTTTGCTCCACCGGGTTTCCCTGCTTCGTCCCAACACCATGTCCCCACTCCATCAGGCGCTTTGTCTTGCCATACTCCTCACTAGGAGTGACTAAAGGAAGTTACATCGGACTGGTGGGTCGGTGGTGAATCCCCAGCTCCAAACTTGACTTCAATCGATGATATCCATTGTTGCATGGGTCGGGCCGGTTTGATCCAATTTTGCTTCGACCCGGTTCAATTTGACCGGTTCAGTTTGACTTGTCAGCTCGGGTCGCACACATCAGGCCTTACTCGGATCCAAGATCTAACCCCTATCCGCCCTAGGTAACCCAGGCTCAACCCAACTTCCCCCGTGACCCGTCAGGCTGAACTCGTCTTCTTCCATTCCAGGGATCAGGCCTAGTTAGCCCAATATACCTCCTGTCATTTCCAACCCATCAAATCCTGGTCCAACTGCTTTGGACCCCCCTCCCCTTCATAGTCCACTGCCTTCATTTTTCCAAGAGCTTCCATCACCTCTTAGGTCGTCGGAGTGGGTTACAAGCCCGACCCACCCCCGACCTTGTTGTACCCTTGGCTCGCACAGGTATGGTTCGCTTGCCCTAGACTGGCTCCTTCGTCGCTCAGGTTTTCCATTACTGGCACCAGCTCTTTTGGACCTTCCGCTACCAATCGGAACCGCCCCACCGCCGCCGCCTATTCTGCCTTGCGGGCAGCATGAGTCGGGGTCGGGTCGAACATCCCTAGCATTGTCAGGATGGTTGAGGCTGCCTTCCCTCTTCGTTGGACCTTGAGCGCCTCCATCATGACCTAGCCCATTCTCTCGATCAACGCTTCCAGCCTGTCTCCCACTGCGTTGATAGACCCCAGCCGATCGCCCAACTCTCGCAGCTCTACTCTTTTTTTGTTGTGTAGCCGCCTGGGCCTGGGAGTTTGCTTCAGTCCGCTGCTCCAACACCTGGTTCAGGATCTTAAACAAGTTATCGTACTTGGTCAAGTTCTTGACTATCATATGTGTCCTTCTACAATTTGTTTGATGAATAAGTCATCTTTCCATAATGCTAAGCCGAGCCATGCTCTTATACCAATCGTAAGAAACACGAATCTATTCGTATACATCTAGGATTTAGGACTCGAGAATTGAACAAAGGATTAGGGATGTGAGGTGAAAATTGATGGGAATCAGGGAAGAAAGGAAGAAATCAGGTCTCTGGGAAGGGAAATGGCCAACAACACTATGAGGAGAGAGAGAGAGAGAGAGAGAAATCGAGATTGATAGGAAGAAGGGGAAAGATTTAGGTTTAGAGAATAATTGTTATGTTATTACTTAATGAGAAAAACCCCATTAATATAGAATATATAACCCAACAAATTCCCTATAACTATATTAATATCCACTATCTAAAATCATCAAGATGTTATCGAAAACCTCCAAATATCATCCAAAGCTCGTAAATCATAAGGAAATGAAAATTAAGTCCAAAACACCAAGAAAATCGATAAGAGAAATAATAAAACTTGTTTACTTTTCTTTATTGTTCTTTTCATTTCTAACATTGCGAACAGAAAGTGGTACATTTATGCTTTTTCTAGAAACAACAAAAAGTTGTCTCTACCACTTCCAAATATCTATTTTCACATTTTTTAATCAAAAAATATTTTTGAAAATTGATGAGTTGAATATTCGAATGATATTACTCAAAATTACTTTCAACTAGAGACAATTTTATTTTAGAAAATGTTCTATCAAGAATTTCAAATAAAAATAAAATATTTCAACTGAATTGCTCAAAACTTATACAATTCTTTTATATTAAACAATATGTTATATGATTTCAAAAGGCCACTAGAAATGTAAATATATGTCTAGGTGGTTCTCTAAGAATTTTTGAAAATTTCTTCTTATTATATTTAATAAAAAAATTATAATTTTTATTAGGTAGGTCATTCAACATTTATCTACTCTAATTTTAAACAATATACCATCATTTAGGTTTCTGTTCCACAATCCACCAAAGTTTTCAGCTAAATATTTCACTAGAAACGACAATTTGTTTCATTCAAAATTGGTTTTATATTGCCACGACGACTGGAATGAAAATGGAAATGAAAATGCACTTTTATGTTCATTATCTCTAACCATTAGGGCTCGAAAATGGTCTGATTGGTTAAACGGGACCGGTTTAACCCAGTTTTTTATGCAATATATGCAAAAGCTACAACCAGGATTTGATTTGGATTGAATCAGTTTTCAACTATGACAAGATTGAATTAATCCAGTCCGATCCAGTTTTAACAAAAGCCGTTTGTGCCTCTCTCTAGTGAAACACTACTGTTTCAGTAAACTAAATTAAAAAAAAAAAAACAAACACAAACTCATCATGTCAACAACCCTCCTCTATTCAATTCCAATCTGAACAAAATCTATAATCCTCTCATTCCATCAAGTACTATGTTAGGACTATGCTGGCTAGGAGGGCCAAATTATCCAACTGGGGAATAAAAACAGAAATGCCCCCGGTTATGTGGGTTATAATCCCTAGTAGGGGATCTATGGACAAATGACAGTGGATTGGGTTGTCGAACTGTAATTATCTAATGTGTTTAGCATTCTTTTTCTTTTTCATGTTTTTTTATTAGTTTTTATTTTTTTGGCCTATTTAAAGGGTTCATTGAGCTTTAAGTTTGTTAGTTGTGCTTTGTATCAATCAAGTATTCTCCCTCGTTGTGGTCAAACTTCTACCTTATATTGATAGAGTCTTTTCCTAGGTGTGAGATTGTACTTCAATCTTGTTTTGTCCTTAATCCTAACCCCTGTTCTTGGCTGTGAGACTTTGATAACCACGTTCACTTCCCATTTCCTTTCTTGGTTTTCGTTGCTACAACAAAAATTTGGAAAGGCAAAATAGAAATATGCTTTCACTTGTTTTCTGTTTTACTTGGGGAAAATAGAGGCAAACAAATGGGGCAGCTGGTCGAAAATCGTAACCTGTTGTTTCCAGGAAACTGACATTTTCTTATTTCGAACTCCCTTTCCCCTCTCTAGCACTGACCTTATCCCCAACCTTCCGCTTCTTTCCCTTCAATCCCACCATTCGACTTTTCTTTGCCTTCTTCAACTGCCGATCTTCATCCTTCACCCCCATACCATGTTTGTTGAATGTGATCGAGTGCCAACTTCGGATCAATGTCGAACCCTCGATCCCAATGTAACTCCCCTGTTTCTTCTCCCTCAATCTCGACCCAACTTTCTGGTTTGATCTCGACCCCACAATCCCAATGCAAATGCTCTATCCTTCCCCCTCAATCACGCATCCTCCGTCCACTGATACTCGTCTCCGCAAGTGACACGCTAAAACACAACACCAAACTACGACCAAGTGTAATCGCAGTCCGGAAATGCAGTAAAGTGGCAAGCTCTAATTATCAACCCGGGGTCTAGATCTACTGCCTACTCCATGAATATCTATTATCTAGCCAACTAAGTCGATTGATTGTGGTTTTAACTAAAAGCAGTAAGAAAGCAGGAAATGGTTCGGTTTTCCGAAGCAAAAGAAGAGTCACTCGGGAACGAGTCTCCCTAGGTTGATTTACTGGGTTGATTTACTGTTGATTAAACTGCGGAAGATCCGACAGTAGCTTGGAATCTCTTAAGTTGACCAAGCCCTCTTAGTCCAACTACCCGGCAGGCGACTAGTCTTCACCGGGATAGAAAGCTAAGGCAATAAGCACGAAACTCTACTACTGGAATTGGGTTCCAGTACAAAGCAGTAGATTGATTTACTCTCGTATAACCAATCTTCCACTACTGATTGATGAAGCTCTAACAACCTATTCAGATTCTATCTATCTCGGGTTGCAGCAGAAATCAAGAAAAGATGATCAGACTTCAATTGTTTCAATGAATCATGCATCAATTGATTAAAATCAAACAGTATAACAATCCCAAGTCATTACAATCAAGATCCCTAACACATGGAACTAGGGTTCTTCATACCCAAGCGAGAGAAAGTTCTACTCCATAGAGAGAGAGAGGGAAACAGAATACAAAGCAGTCATACTCATAACAATTGGAAGAATCTGCTCTGGGATGTCAATCTTCACTCCTGGGGATGCAATATGGGCTTCAATGGTGAGAAATCCACTCCAAATAGCTCCTAGAGTTTGTTCTTTGCACTTTCTCTCTCTAAAACTCAGTTTTTGCTCCAAAAATTCGACTTCCGCTCCTTTGGCTCGAATTTGCCTCAAAAACCCGATTTTGGGCGAATTACGGGCTAAATTACGGTCATAATCCTGGTATGCCCGTAAATTGCTCAAAACGAGCGTTTTACTTAACTCTGAGGAAGGGAATTACAGTCGTAATTACCCAATTAGTGCTAGTAATTATGGAATTACGACCGTAGTTACTTTGACTCTTGCCCCTAATTGTCTCTACGACAGGAATTCGGAAGAATTAGGCTCGGCATTGCAATTACGGGCAAGACAGGAGCAATTACGACCGTAATTGGACAGGGTCTGCCCGTAATTCTTCCTCCGCCCCTGTTTAATGCTTCGTTTCTCCATCGTTCGGACTCCAAATCAGTCGTCGTTTGATCCCAGATGCTCGACTTCTCGTCCTCTTTCTTTTCATGACAAAATTCAATGATTATTTGTCCATAAAATGAATTCCGATTGACTTGAAACTTGCGCCTTTGCTCCATTTTACATGCTAGGACCTGAAATGTGACAAAGGAACATAACCTAGCATAAAATATTCCAAGAAAGCAAAAACTGAAGCCAAAATGATCAAGAAACGAGGGTTCAAACATGTGCAAATACGATGTTATCAAATTCCCCCACACTTAACTGTTTGCTTGTCCCCAAGCAAACTAAATCAGATACAAGGTAAGCTCGAAACATCTCAATCATGCAACCCTTGGGGACATATCACATAGGCACGAAACACGGGAATCACACTGGCTTTCAAACATCAACACATGAACAAATTCAACCGCAACCTAGACAACCACCACAGAGAACATTCGAGTGCAGCAAAATTGGGTAAAGGAAGAGTCTCCCTTCTGTTCACCAACCAACATATACTTGACTCAACCTCTTACTCAAGACAGTCACCTCATGCACAAAACTCAAGATATCAGAATTGAGACCGAGCAATCTAGGTCCTCACCGGGGTAAAGAGTATAGATAACATGAGAAAATGAATCGCTCACTCTCGACCAATGGGGTCAGGACAATTTTTTTGATGCAAGATGTGCATACTCATACTCTCAATCCCTAACGTATCTTCACCATGAAGGCAGCCTCTAAATGCTAGAGGTCACATATGGGGTGTCACTACTAACTAATCCGGAGGTCTTAGACACAGGTTCAGATTATTGGCTAGGGTCTTGGACATGGGGAAAAAGCCTTTTAGGTGGTGGAAGTGTTTATGGCACAAGGTTCCACAATTCCCAACCCAACATAATCACAGTCAATCAAACCACTTACTTTCTTTCTGCCATTCTGCATTACTCACATTCTTTAGAGCACAAGAGCGAAGGAGGTCGTATAAATGTTAGTATTTCCAAGCCACACTGCTAAGAAACACTACTCAATGGGCACTATTCTGATTTTGTGGTGGTGGCTCTCTTTTGCTTTCATTCATTTTTTTTTCTTTTTTTTCATTTCTTGAGAGAACCACCACCTATGCACATTTTTCAAACACATGCCCAACTTTTTTAAGAACTACCTCCAATACTCACATAATATTTAGCAGAAACAGCAGAGAACATGTAAAAACCACTCTATGGAACCTTCTAAAAGATGCAAAGGGGTGATTTTCCATTGTAGACCGAAAGAAAGGATAACACACAGCTCAAATGGCTGACTAGGGGGTATGACACATTAGGACAGTCAATTTGGTCGTGGGCTAATCCTATGCCTCCATCATCTTAGCTAATGGCAACGTGAATGCTACACATCATGGAAGAGGGAACTATCGCACAAGAAAGAAACGAGCAGGCTCAAATCTCA